AATTGTGCGCGTGGACGTGGAAAATATATTAATTTTTTATAATCAGAGTAGCCCTGCTATCGATGCGAGTTAAAGGACAAAAAAGTTTTTCCCGAAACATAACAAGGATTACTTTCAAGGTAAATAAAAGCCTCTCCCAATTCGTATTACTTTGCGAGGAATAATTATTAATAAGCTTATTTCCCCTGGGTCGCTTAGGTGGTTTAAGGACTGGTAGTTGAGTTTTGCCACAATGAGAGCGGTGTGTGATTAAAAGATAAGGCTAAATAAAAATATTTATTGATAAGAAATTTTGTCATTGCCATTAATTTCGATACTCTACTGATTTATATGGTTAGTAAAATGTCATATTTATACCTTATCATAGGGCTAATTGTTTTTGATGTATAGCTTGACTGGTTTCTTATTTGATTTATAGCTAATCTGCCTATGATAATTAGAAAAGATTGCTTGAATTTGCCAATAATATCAGCTTTTTCTATATCTAAGAAGGCTGTTATCATCCAGGGTGGATTGTAATTTTCAGTTAATCTATGACGTAACTATACAAATAGGCAACGTATCAAAATTACTGGAAATCAAGCATAGGCTTAACGACTCAGATTCCCTCTACAAATATGAATTAAAAGAGGACCATTAGTATAAAAATGAGGCTAGTTGATAATGTCGCCTTAATGATAACGTATTCACCTCAGCCCAGATGATCCCAAGGGTTGTTGAAGTGACTTCACACCATCCTGGGTGAGATTGGTCTTGAGATACAATAAAAGGTTAAAATCATCAAAAAAGTAAAGAATTCTATTTGATTCATACTGAACAGGCTTAATGAGTTGAATATCAAAGCAATATGAACTGATATGCTTCGACAGCATGATAGCATGGATAGAGGCTGGGGTCCGAAGGATACCTTAGAAGATTAATACTGGCATACTTTTCATTTCGTTTTAAAAGGCAGTTGGAAGGGATTCGTAAATTGGCCGCATCGGATACAGAAGGAAGGTTGCCTTGGACTTTTGTCTGTTGAATTGTGCAAAGGAGACCTCGACTCGCAGTCCTACAACCCCGATGACTCTGTACCGATCTTCCGTCCGCCAAGAGATGGACATCGTCAGAGCCAGAAATCATTATTCACAAACAATCACCAAAAAATGTCAAGCCAAAAAAGTGGCAGGCTGAGATAGCAAAGTGAAATATAATAATTAATCATAATCTCAGTCAGCCACCATTCTTGATTAAGTGTTTTTATAAGTAGGGTTTCGAGAGTGAGTGTTTGAGAATAATGACTTCTTGCTCTGATGATGCCTATCACATGGCGGACGAAAGCTCAGCACGGAGTCATCGGAGTTGTAGAAAAGTGAGTCGAGGTTTTCTTTGCACAATTCAAATTACAAAAGTCAAAGGCGACCCTCCTTTGGTACCAGGTGAGGTCAATTTACGAATCCCTTCTACACGCCTTCTCGAACGAAATGAAAGTTATGCCAGTATCTAGCAGATGTTGCAGGTCAGACGTCTTTGTATGGTGCATGAGCTTAAATACAATTAACTTTGCCCGCACATATACTCAATTCATGATACCAATTGCAAAGATGAATTAGGTATTCTATCTGCTGTATATAACAAGAAAGGTGTAAAGTACTCGCATTCTAAGACTAAGGAAGAAAACTGGGAGCTTAAATAGGAATTTAGAGCAGAAACTGACCTTCCAGCTCCAAAGGTAAATACACCACCATCCTGAGTGAGCACGGCTGTGTGTGACTCCCCACAGGCCAGATAAACCGCTCCTTGGCCTTTGAGAGTTTTGACAAGAGTAGGGATAGGACAGCAGATGTTTGATGAACAAAAGAGCAATTGCAGGTCATTTGTGCGACGCTTTGGGTTGGGTTGGCCTGAAGCCGTGCTTTCTGTACCAGTAATTGCAGTTGAAGAATCATTATCATTAGCTCGGCCAGACGAATGACCATTCGGAACCGTAATGGAAGCAATCGGAGGCTTGGCTGAAGTCACATAGATACAATGCACATATCAAATAAATAGAATAATACGTATAAAACCTTAATACCAATTCTGAGGTATATAATTCATATTCTTATCAAAATAAGAAGATTGATCCGGAAAATAAGTGAATAAAGCAGTGCCTGAAATTTTTCAAGTAAAACTTTATCACGTGGAGTAAACTTAAGAGGTCTTGTGAGCCTTACAAACAAATGAGACCATTCTAATAATTCACCTGGAGAGCCGATGTAACCTAAGCCGAGTTGTCCATGTGAGTTGGCCCCCCACGAGTAGACGGCACCACTTGGAGTCAGCACAAGGCTGTGGTTGCCGCCTGCGGCAATCTGTCGTATCGGCAGGCCGTTTAAGCTGGCAACAAGCTGAGGGACTGCGATGGGCCTCTCATTTGCGTGACCTAAGCCCAATTGACCACAACTATTTGTTCCCCAAGCAAAAATCTGTGAAGTAGCTGTAAGAGCAAGAGAATGCTCCAAGCCCAAAGATGCCTGTAACAGATGCGTAGCAAAAAGGAAACGCAAAAGAAAGTCAATTTGATAGAATTAATAAGACTAAATTTAATTAGCATTCGAATAAGTGAGATACCAATTTTTTAGGAATGAAGTCAACATACTCGCTTCTTAGTCCTAATATACCCGTTTCTGTCTGCGGTTTATAATCAGAGTACTTACAAGCCAAGCAATGCATTTCAATAAATACCGTATTTTCCGGCGTATAAGACGACCCCCTGACTTTTCCAGTTAAAATATAGATTTTGTAAGGAGGTAAGGGGCGCAACAAGAGCTCGGAATTATAGTATAATTAACGATCCCTAAACTACACTCGGCGTATAAGACGACCCCCCCCCTTAGGAGCAGAAATCTATGGTGTGAAAAGTCGTTTTATACGCCGGAAAATACGGTAATTATGAAAGG